ACACACGAAGTTTCCCGCATGAAGATTCAGTTTCCACAAAGAAACAAACAAACGTACGAAAAGCACCCTCTATGGACGGTCGCGGGTACGTAGGGCGGAAATATTATTATATCTTCATCCAGCGAATTATTTCCTTCCCACTTTCCGTAATTCTTGAGACGCGTAGAATATGATTCTATTCCATGAATAACTCTTTAGAATTTTTTTAATTCTTCACAGTTCACAATTCATCAAACATTTCGTAAGTGGATTATTATCAGTTAGTTAGAGCACCTGGTGGTGCACTGCACCTCTTGCAAATCGGATGAAACGTCCAAAGTTGTTATCTACGAAATTCTCACGTGTTCGCTACAAAAAATGAGAGCGGTTTTGAACGCTGTAGACCATTTTGAATTTGCTGTATGCCCGATTGCTTTGAATTTTTGGTATGCCCACATTAGTGCAACGAAAGAACGTCAGTCATAACATGCAACTTCTGACACTGGGTGTTGCCAATTTGAAGAGGTCTGAGTTCGTCTTGAGAAGATCGTTTACATGAATATTTCCGGAAACTTCATCACAATAGCTCATGGTCGCACTTTAGACCCCAATGGACGCGAAGCCTGCAGGGTCGTCCGACAGCGACACGCCTAGGAATCAGAGCCCGAACAGTGATGGCGCCACTGAAACACAACCGTCACTCGGCGGAAAAGAGCCAAGGTAGTGGACAGTTTGAACTAGCTCACTGTGGCTGGCGATGTAGCTAATAAAGCGGAAATTACATATCAATTTGGAAGTGTTTACTAAAACTAATCTATGCGAGTATTTCAGACCATATCGCCAGGAACCATGGCATGAGTGCTTCACTACCGTTAACAAGAAAGAGTTCGATGCGCTCATTTATTCTTTGTACGTGATGGCCAGAGATGATAAAAAGCTCGACGGATACGAATAGTAAGTTTTGTTTTGAAGCTGAAGGCGCTGATACGGGAGGCAAAGGCAAGGTAGTCGGTAGTGAGTGCAAAACGCAATAGTAAGAAGGCCTGGATATTCTGACATAGGAGCAGTATTCAAGTGTTTTTTTTTGTACATCATCAAAATACTGTATCCGAGCGCAATAATTTTGGGCTGGTTATGTAGCCATGTTCAAAAAGTCGTACCTAAAGCAGATGAAATGATAAATTGGTTGCCGGTGGAAGTGGATGGTGAAGAGTTTCCAAGTGGAGCAGAGGTGAAGATGAGAGAAGCGCCAATTTGAGTTGGCCTCAAATGCTCAAATGAGATCCACTTTTTCCCCTTGATTCCCACGCCGGCACGAGAAAACGATCCAGGGCATAATTCAACGTCTCCTTCGATTTGTTGGATCAGCAAGAAGGGAGTGGATGAAATCTTTCTCAAATCAAAACGAACGATCTAGGAAGGATATGGGAATCGAACAACGCTTCTGTCATCATCTGGGGCTGGGTGCTGCAGTACCCGCTGGGTATGAGTTCCCAAAGCCCCTGAATCTCTGGCACATACCTCTATTCCTGACCATGCGTCACAATCGGAGTAGAGACGCAGGGTTTTGAGGGACCCATCACCGGCCGTCTATAGCTGAACCGCTGGACGCGGCCCCAAAACCGACATCACGTAAACACGATCAGGCCTGATTAGCGCGCTAGCGCGCTCTCTCTATGAAATCACCAAATCTTGCTTCCTGTATCTGTAAGTCTTGCCCGGCGACGCTGGTTAGACTCCACCTCCAACAATTTAGGGTCCTTCACGCCTTCGAACAAGCCTGAAAGGAATTAAGTGATGTCGACGCCGTACATTACTACGCGACCGGTTACTACAGTATATGATCCCCTGAACGGGATCATAATATGTTCGTTAACCGGTACGAAGTTATTAGTTATGCCTTTGAAGACTGCATAGTCGCGGTCCAGGAAAATGGCTTGAAAAAAATCAAGGTGGAATTGACGGAACAACGGGACTATTTTTTGAGCGAGTGATTATTTCAAGAAGTTTTAGCACTTATTCGAAAGCTCTAATCCTCTAGTTTCTAATTAGCCTTAGACATCTGCAAAAAGTTGAGTATGAAGAAAGTTATGAATGTTTGAATGTCGAAAACTCGCGTGTGCACAGAAAACGGAACAACGGGACGATTTTTTGAAATATTGAACATCCACAACATTTCAAATACTCCTCAGGAAGAAAACTATTTATATTTTTAAAATTTTGGTGTCCGATTTCATGAAACAGCTTCTGAAAGAAAATATAACCTTCTGAATGGAGGGGTTTGGATTGCAATGTAATTGCTACAAGGTTTAGTTTTTCAGATTATAAGGTAAGGAAAGTTGAGAGATCGAAAAAATCCTGGTGGGTTTCTGAAAGTAGAAATCTTTACGATTAAAATGATGTATTGGTTTACGCAAAAATTTGAAATTCCTTCTATTTAATGAATAAAACTTCATTTGCCTCGATTCCCTCCTCTGAGCGAGACAGAGCGCGCGGATTGACCACGGTCCACCACTTCTCCATGTTGGTGACTGCCATCATTGATGAGCATTGATGAGCATTAAATTATGTGAAAGACATGATAGTTAATATGGGGGGTCGTACCGATACCCCCGAAAAGGAAGGGGGTCGTAAAAATTTTGGAATTTGCGCAACGCAGGGTTGACCCTGGTTCGAGACTCCTTTGGCGCCTTATTATGCCTCTGATAGCGCGTTTTTCACCGCAACCACCCATCGTCTACTTGGATACTCCCCTAACTCTCCACTACCCATCTTCCGCTTCCACAAACATACGTTTTATCGCATTTTTGTCTTTACGATTGGTTGACTAGTTATTTCGTTTTCAGCTACGAGTGCATAAATCGTCTACAAAGCAAGTGTCGCTATCGGGTCAGAGCTAGAAGAATGAATGAGTTTATAATAGTGGAAGAGCGAGGAGCTCACAATCATGCAATGGAACCAGTGGGAACGCCCGGAACTCACGCAGGATTGCCGAAGTAGAACATTGAACTTACTGTGCTCTCTTCCATTACTGACACAAGGTTTTTACTTTTCAGAACTCTAAGGGAAATCGTAGATCGTTCTTTCTTATGAGGACTGGAACAATGCAGTTCGGCAGGAGAAACTTGAAGAGGAGGTAGGTGTAGACTAGCTTAGAGCTTAAAGGCAGATGGTAATAATATAAATTGGTCGCCATTGAAAATGAAAGCGTGTGTAAAGAATGCTGCAGTGGCAAATAGAAAAGGGAAGGAACCAGTAAAAAATGCGCAAAAACCTCCTTTTTCCTTGTCGATTTCCAGGTTGTACAAGATTCCACTATAGACGGCGCTGTAAATTTTAACGCCATGCTCTGCCTCTCCACTTTTGCTGCGACCAGTACCCTCTCAACCAAACATATGGCGAGTCAGCCACCTGGGTCAGGGCTTCCAAAAAGCGACCGCTCTTACGGGCAATAGCTTGCTAGGTTTCTTCGGATCTGGCCTTCGCAGCAATAACGTCACTTCTTGTTTATTCAGAGGCCTTGCCAGCTTCTAGAGGTTTCCTCTTTTTAAGATCCTTATCACTCCCTGCCTATAAGGAGCAACCAGTAGGAACGTTCATTGATCGTGACCTCTTAGGCATCATTATAGCACGAAGATTCGCAGCACTAGCACATTAATGCAAATGAAAAAGGGGTCTTATTCAGGAAGAGGGTGGGGCATGTGAGGCGCCAGTTCATATTGCCCAAAGTTATCCGACTATCACAGGGGAAGGAAGCTCCGTGTGGGTGTGAAAGAGAAGGCGAAATGGCTTGCACACAGCGGGAATTCCCTCTCCCTACGAGAATTGGGATTTTGAACTGTTGCATCACATGCCCCCCCCCCCCCCTTTGATTTAAAAGCCCATAACTGAATTGTTTTCCTGCAGGTCCGCCGCTTGGGTTTGCCACATAATCCACGTCTCGGCAGACAAGTTGACAATCGGATTGCATATCTGCGTAGAGTGAAGAATCTCAACGAAATGAAGAAAATCCAAGATCAGGTATGAATCATATCAAGAAATATTGGACCAAAAATCGAATAAATACGGTGTAGGTGACGCCGATGCCTAATGGAGATCTTGCAAGTGAAGGTGAATCAAAAGCCAATGGCGTGTCCGACGGCACACCCCAAGCTGCAATGCCTGCCCTGGAAAATCCCGCTGATCTGCTCCAAATGTTGATGCAGGTATAAATTTTCAGTATAGACTTCCAGTAGTGTTATCATTCTTATATTTATGAGTTATTATGTACTTGTTTATAGTATAATTAGTTTTATGTTTTCGTATATATTATCTTCTTATTGTGCTCGCATTTACATTTCTATTATTTTTATACTTATTAGCATTTTTCAGAATTAATTATTATAGTATTTCAGTGTAATTTTTTGTTATATATTATACATTTTTTCTTTGATTTCTCCTTGCTCGATTTACTTTTAATTTTCGTTTTTGGAATTAGTTTTCTTCTTAGAATGCATGGTGTTGGAGCTATATTATCCTGTATACCAATCATATTCCTTTCAGAATGGCCGATTCCCGGAGCTGAACGGTGACACGCAAAGTCAGTTGATGGCGTTGATGATGGGTGGAGCAGTACCTCCTATGAGGGTGGAAGACAACAACGGCGGGCAGGACATGCTGCCCAACCCGTCAGTTATTCTTCCGTCCCTCCTGGCCAACCCGTTCCTTCACGCCGCATCTTCGTCATCGAATTGCTCCATGCCGATCGGTAATTTGAGCGACAGCACACCCACTAACGACCCGAGTGCCGAATCAGGTGATATGGAGGAGGACGACGATTACAGTACGGAAGACGGCCATCTGCAAATTGACGCAGATCACTAGTAGGACCACCTCAGGACCTCATATGGTTACGTGTGAAATGCATATCTGATCTTGGTCTCTCAGCAAACGTTCTCAAGCACACGATATCCCTTTCCTAGATGAGTGAGATTATAATTCTTTACTATATGTATATATGTATTTTGTGAGGGTCATCGTATTCACTCATACCGTATCCTCCTCATTTTTAATTCTCATAGCCTTATCACTACGGGACCGCTACTCAAGGCCTTTTTCCGCTCGTCTTTATTCACTACTGCTGCCGAAATCGATGTTTGTCTAACTGAACGAATTGAATGTTACACTATTCGTTGCAGAATTACTCGCACTCTACTTATTCAATGAAAATGTTTCTGTTCACTCGTATTTGTGGAACATACATATGTAAAAACTTGGCCGGAGGTGGTTAGGGTATTGGAAAGTGGCGGTGCTCTGCGCTGCGCACGGTCCGAGGATCGAATCCGCGATCACATAGCTCCAGGCGAACAAAGTCATCTATCCCACGGGATCGTTTTCTCTGTAGCAACTCTTCCGGGCAGATAAAAGACTGTCTATTGGCAAGCCGCAGCCATTGTATAGGCCAATTCGCATCCAAATTGTCTATGACCCTGAATGTAACTGATATTCCTGGGGCATACCAAAAGGACTAATCAATACAATGTTTTGTCCTCCGATTCCTATCAACTATGGCACATAAGTACCCTCAAGAGAATTCAAGAGCAAGAAACCCCGGATCGCTAGGTTCATTATCCATTTTCGTAATTGAACGATTCTAGAACACCGGAGATGAAACACTCCTGCACACCAAACATACCATGTTTCATAGAACGGCTCAAAAAAGCACCTAACCTTAAAGGCATGGGTCACGGTTGGATCCTTTGGTTAAAGAAACCCTCTTCTTGAGTAAGGTACCAGCAGTAGAAGCCCTTTTTACATGGGTGATGGTACTGTGGCGACTTGGAAATGCGCAACAGGGGAGCCAGTGCCTTCGCTTGAGCGCTACGACCGCTGCTCTTCTTATCAACAAATGTAGTGCCTGCGCCTTCTCGCGCGCAATATGCTCTCGCGCCTTTTTCCTCTCCCTCCAGCGCGAGGTAAGCAAACCAGCCCTTTTGGCGTTTCGGCTGGGACCGTATGCTGAATGTTGGGGAGGGGATGGGGTCCCCAACGGTCGACGGTTTACTTCAACTCGGTTGGTACGATAGGAGAGTACTGACGCAAGTGGTGCAGCTGGTCCAGCAGCTCCGCCAGAAGGGCTGGTTTGCTCACCCCAGGACTAAGCCTTGGAGAGGGGACGGACCCGTTCTCTCTTTGAAGGCTTAGTTCTGAGGTAAGCACCAAATTGTGGCGGTTCTAAGGACCGAGTTGAAGTGGTCCGTCTACCGTCGGGGACTCCTATCCCCTCCCCAACATTCAGCATACGGTCCCAGCCGAAGCGCCAAAAGGGCTGGTTTGCTTACGTCTCTAGCTCTGGGTCTCACCGTTCGCTTGCCACACTAAGACCACACAACGAAGTTTCCAGTGTTTTTCAATAGGGCCTTTCATGTTCTTTCCCCGCCGACGTTCTCCTTTGCACGCATTTCTAATTTCAAATCAGAAACACACCAATTCAATTGCGCTCCGTGCCTTTACTCAAGCCTTTTTCCATTCGGCTCTCAACCTGTTTTTGCTGATTTTGTATAGATATCTGATCGACAGAAGACTTCAAGGGGTAGACCGTTGTTGTTAAGTGGTTCTAAGCTTGAGCCTAACGTATCAGTCAACCAATTCGAATGCTAACGAAGAGCTTTATAAGCGTTCGCCTGCAATTTCGTCACGGATAAGCAGAAATGACGCGATGGCTTCATTGTTAATAATTTCCTTGGACAATTGAGGCTGTTAGTGTCGAATGCCGCTATTCATGCTTCATCAAGCAATGTATTCTGGAAAATGACAACCGCACAACTCATCAAAATTCAATCACATCCACTTTACGAGGACAACACCTGACAGTAATTATGAACCAGGTGGTAGAAGTAAATCCAGGACGAATCATAATGTGAAAGTTGGCGACAGTGTGCAAGAGGTAGAATTTTCACAAAACACTTCAAATATTGAAGCCCTCACAAAGTAAAGTGATATGACTAAACAGCGAGCTCGAATTTTGAAACTGGATAGAGTAGCAACTTAGAAATTGGAAGGACGCGCTTTTGGTCCGTTTTTGAGATCCAAAAAGCAGATAATCGAGAAAATTGCACTAACTCCACCTCTCTTCCTTCCCCCGCTTTCTCGATAGCTCTCTTGTCCCCAAGGAAGAGTTCCACCTTCTTCAGAGCAAAATACCATTTGGTTTGTATTCTTTTGATTTGGGGAAGCACTAGTTTGAAAACCGTTGTCCCGGGAGTACCCCAGAGCGCATCCCAACCACCAGGTCTGAGTAGAGCGAGAATGTTTAGCATTTCTTGATAGATTATGTGGCACTGCTTTTGAAGCAATACCATAAGTCTTTACTAGACTCGTTGGTGAAGTTCCCTTGATTGGACTGCTGCACACCACTGTGCTTTCGGGAGCTTAAATAACCCGTTTCTCACTGGATTCTCACAAGGTTAATTTATGCCAAAGCGGCAGCATGCACACATAACTTTTATTTATAGCTTTAGTCGTGGCACCGATGGTTCTCGGACTCTGCCGTGATTTTGAGCGTGAGCTTTTCTCTGACTTTGATGTATCGTAGGAGGCAAGGTTACACTACGCGGATAGAAGCTTTCAGGATACGATCGATAGACAGGACGTGGATGATGTTCTGTTGGAGACGGTACTTCGGACTCAGGTTCTGAGTTCGAGACGCCACGGCTTTCTTCGAAGTCGATATGTTGAGCTTTGGGACATCGTCGTTCTCTGGATCGTTGACGCTGCTCCCACGACGTTGTGTAACACACAGACAGAAGTCGATCGTAGCATCGACACCATGGCTAAAATGCAAATGGTATGAAGAAAGCTTGACGAATGTTTTCAAATGAATTAAGTGAATGGGCAGCAAAACTGCTGAGTAGGGGGAATTGGTTGAGTATCACTGGAACATACAATATGTTAAGGGCAGGCCTGGCTTTTGGACCAGAATTAAATACGCATCTTTGCTTTCCAGGTGACGGGCTGATCCCGCAAACTACCAAAATCTCAAGCACCCTTGCTCAGCCTTGTAAAATTATATGTTTAACACAGCTCCCACGTGCCACATACTTTAGCCCATTATTGCTATTATGAATACCACCGAATGTTCAAAACGCCCCAAGGATTTGCTAGTCGAAACGCGTGCACGGCTCACTCCAGGGAGCGACACACACGCATACAGAGGGTACCCCTTTCGCTAGTGATCTGGGAACCTCGGGCAAAAGCAGCCGTAATATCGTCTCGGACGGTCAGATGGTAATTTTCTTCTTCACAGGTTCCAAATCACAAACATCGGACAGCGGCGAGCGTCGCAAGGGCAGCGTACGCTCCACGGGTTTGATTAATGTCGCCAACGCGGGTTTATTGCGTGTTCGGAATGCGGGGAAATGCGGGGGAAATTCCGGGTAAAGGTTAAGAAGGGAAGATATTGGCATTTTCAACAATTAAATTGTCAACGAAAATCGCAAATCCCAAAACAGGAGCAAAAATATTGAAAAACGGCAGAAATTCAAAAAAAAAACTAAAAATTCAATTATAATGGAATCGAAAGACAAAAATCTAACACTAAAATCTGCAAGCCAAATTGTTGTGTTATAGTTATAAACCCTAAAATTCCATAGTTTAGTTCGCGTGAAGATAAGTAAGCTTAAAAAAGTGTGCTGTTTAAATTGTTGTTTATGTGATGTCTATTTTCAACGCGTTTTTTTGTAACAATATTTGGCATAGAATAAAAAGCACTCCAGAAAAACGCTGTCGATCAAAAAAAGGTGACACAAATTCGAAGGTGTGGTTCTCTACGAACAAATTGAGGCGGAATTGCCCATGAGGTTTTGGACTTATTTTTAATAGGGTGTGTTGTACAGAAAAGTGGACTCACTAAACAACGGCAGAGACTTCTACAGTAGATATGAATCAATACGGGGATGAGAACGCAAAGCGCCAACAGAGTAAGCCCGACGATCAGCGTGACCCAGATCCATCTGAAAATTGTTTCCAAATAACTAAATATTTCAAAAAAATCAGAACTGACCAATTCTTATAGAATTATTAACATAACGTGGCACTGCACAATACGATAAATAAATAGATAAATAAAGAAATGGAAAAAGGAGGATAAAGCATTTGCCGTTGATCAATCCCTTTTTGGGATGCGGCACGCATTCTACTTCCATTTGTACATTCGTAGTGGCGTTTGAATGCGATGTGGCCTATACAATGACTTGCGGGGGCCAGCCGATGTACAAGTCAGTGTTTTTATCCTCCCAGACAAGTCTGGTACCAATTAACCGACCCCGGAGGGATGGAAGGCTTGGTTGGCCCGGGCGACTCACGACCCAGGATTTGATCCCCGGACCGCTCGCGTGGTAAGCGTGCCACTTGCCACTACACCACTTCCGCCCTTTCCTTTTATCCTTTATACTTTCCTTGTATCCTTTATTAGCTCTACTTCATTCTGGTGGTTGGGAGTGATGTAGTGGGAAGCGGCACATCTCACCACGCGCATGGTTAAAGATCAAAACCTAGCTCAGGCAAAGCTTTCGCCTCAACTGGCAGTTGTGCGAACGACTAGACAATGTGTAACTGGTAGCACAATTGCCCGGAAAGCAAGAGATCCGGGTACGAATCCCGGCTGGGGCGAAAGTTTTGCCCACAACTCAGCATTCTTGTGATAACTTTCGCAACGCGAACTGCGGCGTAAAACAGCAGTTATCCAATTTAAACTAAAATGGGAAGTAGAAGTGAAACATTGGTCATTCAGCGGTTGTGGCATTCTGCAGTTCCGCTTTTTCTTCTCCTTCTGACGCCTTTGGACTATCATCAAGGCGCTTGACAACCATTATACCCTCCCCTTCAAAAAGCGAGAAAGTGTCGGGTGCAGACCATGCACCACAAGTGACGACGGCCTTCACAAAATGTTAATGTTTTCTGCCAATGAAATGATTAGCCTGTTGCAGTTGTATTCTATCATTGTCACTAATTACAACTATCATTTACCAGAAATCAGCTATCACTATGAACAACTTCTAACCAGATTTACTTGGAGGCCGTCGTCAGTTGTGGTGTTTGGTCTGCACCCGACACTTTCTCGCTTTTTGAAGGGGAGGTTATGTAAATTTCCAATTTATTTACTCAGGATACTTTCCAGTATAGCAATAACAGCCCTAACAACAACAAAAAGGTGCTCAGTTGATGGATATGTACCTATTTCCTCGCGATAGTTGGAACAAGGTGGGCATAAGTTCGTAAGGTAAGATAAGAGTGACAGACTTAAATACGGTAAGTGGTAAGCACCTTCTCCCATTACACGCTAGAGACAATTTTCACCTGCTTTTGTCATGAACTGCTGAGCTTTCCTTTATGTGTACAGTTGATATCAGTTTATGAGCTAGTTTAGCTTTAACACTAGCGCATAATGTAGTGCAGCATTTATGCTTCAAACAAGCGAATAAATCGAAGCTGGAGTGATCTGGGTAGGTATGGACCGTACAATTTCCCTCGCGGTATCCTTCCTACCATAGTCGGCTAATCCCGGGGTTCGGCCTTGAGAAGAAATCTAACTAAGGAAAATGACTTACAGGTCTTCGTAGCTGTTCCGTATCTCGCCTGTCCATGTGTTACGGAATGCCCAAGGATCGTGTGGATCGTAGACACTCCGCTGTCCCATCCTGCAAAAAACTGTGCAAGGGATGAAATAGCACTGACATAAGTATGTATTTATTAAACTTAAGCAGAAGTATATAAAATATTAAATTTGGAGGCTGGAGTTTGTTCACAAATTTGGATGTTCATACGAAGTTAGCCAGTGATATAGAACTAGGTCGTTGAAATAGGCAAACGGACACCTTCACGGATTATTTTCACCTAGGCAACCACGCGATCTCATCAAGTATTCACCAGCTCATTTTAATAGAACGTTCGTTTGGTCGAGATCAGGTCGAGAGCAAAAGTGTCAAAATGTATGGGTGAATAATCACTAAGTTGACTTCTTGAGTAATTTTGATAGTACATTTTCGTCCTGAAATTTGAAATAATTATATAGCTTTTGTTCCTCATAGGGTCCCTATTATAATAAGTGCACAAGGGAGGGAGGAGAGAGGACCCAACAGCGGCATTCTATTCATGACAGAATGTCAGCAAAGAGTTTCATTCGCACAGGGTCCGCCATTAAAGGGAGACTTGCTGCAAAATTTTCTCAGAATTATCCTCTTCATAAATACACATTCCTCGAGTTAGCCTGCCCTCATCTTTTTCAGAACACAAGATCTGAAACCATCGTCGTTGAGCTCAAGCATGCTTTGAGTTCGACCATGCGCTATGTTCAGGCATAATTTTTTTGATGCCACCTGCGTAATAATTCATTATGAAGTGGTTAGTAAGCAGAATCGAATGTGCTACGTAATTTTGGAAGCATCGCTTTCGAATTTAGCCATTTGTGATTTGCTTTGCTTCGCATGTGGAAGAAGCAAGTTCCTTGTAATCACTTCTTTGCTGCCCCCTGATGTATAGCCAATGGCAATGGACTTCGGAGCGTAGATCGAGCCGGACCGCGAGAGCCCCAAAGAAAACCTGAAGCGATGTGATCAATAAAAACCTCACTGAAATCAGGGACACGGCAGAAGATGACCTGGACAGGACAAGATGGCGACGGCCGCAGAGACAGGGGACCCTGCGACTGCGCGGGGCTAACGCTAAGGGGAAATAAGAAAAGAAGGTTATCCAAGAACAAAATTGCCGGGCCAGTATCGAATTAACCTCACCCAAGATATTTGTTCAGTTTCGCATTACAATGAGAGCGATACTGTGTCGAATTCTTTGAATTTTGCTTGAAGAGCATATATGGCGTATTCACAGGATTACTGTTACTGAAGGCATTCTGTTAAATATGAAAAGCGGCACAGTACAGAATTTGGTTTTTATCAGTTTATCAACTCCGTTGATTATGAAAACTGCCCACAGGGTCTGCGGATGTCTTGGTAAGCGGTAAGAATAACCAACTTCACTGCTGCTGCAAACATTTGATTTCTATTTTCTCATATCTGGACACATCTTGTTGGAAATGTTCGGTCTCTTATTTTGCTGACTTGACCGTTTTTTCAAATCCACTGTAGGAAAAAAAAGACTGATATGCGGAGTGGGGTGGATTTCGCCACCGCGGAATACCTATCGCCAAAAATAAAGGGAGCGGGATTGAAAATGTGTCCTACTCCCACGGCATTCTCAGATTGAGCAAATCCTGTGCAGTACCTTATCAGAACTAAGCATGCTCTCCCAACTTAAGTCACTATATCGAATAAGACCAAATTGTTTTGGATACACTTGTGCTGACCAGCGTCTCGAGTTGGGTAATCATTGATTTGCTGAGGCGAAGAGAATTCATCCCAAGCGAGAATGCAGACGGGAAATTGCATAAGGCTGCCGCTCGTCAAAAAGCCAAGACCCTTCTAGAGGCCCTTACTGAAGGTGTGAATTTTTGGACTTGCAGAGAGCACTCTTTCCGCATCTGCATATTTGACTTTCTACGCTACTGTGAGTCCCTTACTTCTATGTCTATTTTCGTATATAGTCGTACGTTTAAGCTCTTTAATGGGATGTTAGAGTCACTATCTTCTCTTCGACTGCAACATGTATTGAAGACTGGGGAGCAGGACGTTTTGCTGGAAATTCTGCCCGTAATAGAAATTATGTCGCTGAACAGCTCATTCATAGGGCTGAGCAGATAGGAGAGGTAAGGCATTGGTAGAGTGGACAGGACCAGTAACATTCAACCTCCCTATCTCTTCAACCCTCTCTATCTCAAACTAGTGCTAGGAAAGATCAAAGTATTCATTTGAGCCCGTGAAAGAACAGCCCGTCATCCTAAATAGACGCGCGTGAGCGCATTGTTAGCCACATCACAAAGCGGATTACGGACCTTGTTTCCTTGGATGATTCGATGCGAAATCAGCAACTTTAGTGCCGAGCGCACTCAAAGATCGAGAGCATAGAAACCACCCTTGTCGCCAAGATGGTTCCGGAAGGCTAGTCCCACCATGGTTTGTTTTGAGAGCGAAAAAGGACTACTGTGTTGGCCGTAATACATAGTAAGTGTGATATTAATTTGTGTGAAACAAACTTCGTTCGTTTGGAGTTCAAAACAGCAAGCTGAGATTAGCCCTCCCCCCAGTCCCACTCAAAGTGAGAAAGAGGGCGGCACGAAAGGCGCTACATTGTCGCGACTCAAAAGTGGGATGCGCACGGACGCGCAAGGCCTTCCTTGATGTGCTGCGCGCTGCCTCTTTATCAATCGGTGTAGGTATAGTATGCGATACGCGTACGAGATTACCTCTCGGTTCTTCCCTCTCCCCGCAGCGCGTGTGCTCTCCGCGCTGCCACCTCTAACATTGCAAGGAAAGTTTTAGCGTTCTCTATGATGGCTTTTGCTCTTTCGTCCAATTAGCATTCCTTATTGCACTTCTTACCTAATTTCAAACAAAATAACACACCAATTCGATCCCGACTCCTGCCTTTAAAGGACTGTGCATGATCAGATCGTCACCCACGTGGTAGCTTTTGGTGGGCTGGTTCGCTTTAGTTCTTTGTCCATTTGTCACCAACTCGATAAGGACTATCTCAAAAGCACCTAATGTAACAGTAGCGGGTCAAAAGTATGCGGGCCGAAACGGTTTTTCGCGCTCATATTTTCTTTTGCCAGAAAAAGAATCAACAGTGATCTCGAAACGTTTTTTGAGCATCCTGATGCTATGAAACTCAAAGATATAAAACAGTATAAAACATAGCACATCAGTTTTTGGAGGGCGCTGCTCAATTGAGAAAAAATAATGCACGAAAAATCGTTTCGGAGAGCACTTTTGACCAGTAGTGCACGTCATTTGTTTATTTACCTTGTTTATTTAATTACCAAGTTACGCTTGGTATTCCTGCAAAGCGCTGCCTTATTTAGCAGGGAAAAATTCAAAAATTTAATGATAATGAAGCTCTTTGGAGTTGTTCTATTCTATTCCTTATTAGAAGAGTCCTCTCTTCAAATAATTCTACCTTAAGATCGAACGTATGGGAAATACTGGATAACTACTGTGTATTGCCCTTCTGTGATTGACCATGAATAAATAGAAAAAATAAATGAAAACCCTTCGCTCCATCTTACATTCTTGCCGTCCATGACTATGTTCAGGCACTTAGATGGGTAGATTAGAAATGTCACTTTCTATTTCCGCATATACAGCTTCCGTCAGAGTTCATTCCTCCAGAGAGTTTGAAACATAGGTGGAGCTTGGAGCTTCGTATAGTGCAAGTTGGCCGCCACAGTCACGCGACGGTTTAGAGGTCAAATTCTTTACGAAGGCCGTCCATGCCGGTCTGCTCTTTCATGGTCTGGATCGGATGGCCGGCACCAGCCTCGTTTCTGATAAAAATCCCGACCAGAGCATGAGTTCGAGAGAGCAATTCACTTTGAAACCAAATATTCAAAAAAGACCATACGATCCTTGAATGCGACAGTGGAATGCGTGGCTCATCGACGAGAGGGATTGGTCGATGGCCAACCGCTTTTATCCTTGGCAGTCTTTAAGCTGAGAAAGTTTACAAAACTGTTCAAGAAATACGACTGTTTCCCAAAGATTCGAACTCGTGGCTAATCCTCGGACGCGAAAAAACGCTGACATGCTTGAGATTCCTGTGACAAATGAGGTGTGCTCTTTTTGAGCTTTTTTGACCACAGGATAGATGACAAATGGTGTCTGCGGGGAAATAGAAGGGAATAACTATCACAATTTTCGCAACATTCAGAAAGAAGTGAAAGTAATAATCCAGAGAATAAATGAAGATAGAAAGTATTGTAGAGAAAAAAAGTTTCGAACTATTTTTGGGATTAGATTGCACTTATTATTGCTCCCAGTTTGTGTTGAAGACAGCGATTGATACGTGTAAGCATTGGTTAAAGAGCGCCCCTAGGACTACGCCTTAAAGAGGAGCCAACAATTCTGAAAAAAAAGAAAAATGAAAAATTGCTCGGCCACCACTGGAGTTCTCCTCTTCCCCAGCTTGAGCCTATATTCTTCGTTCCTACAAAAAGGATAATTTTGACGCGGTTTCGAAATGCGCTGCCCCTGCAGCGCTCCCAGATGTCTCAAGACAGCCCGCTAGCTCCATACAAATGATCGGGAAGACAGGGTTACTCCTGCTTTGTCGAGTGTGCTCTTGAAAAGGAGCATGCAAAAAGCTGTCGGCGCTCTTTTCAGCTGCATATTTTTTTGAAAACCTCAAAATCAAATTTTCTGACATGATTCGACATTTGAGTACGCAGCTCAGCAGAACATCTCATTCAGGAGTTTCCGGTTCGAGAGCTTCTTCAGCTTGCAGTCGTTGCACTGCGTCGTTTCCGCATCAGTACGCACTTTGTCGTCGAATGTCCACTGCTACGCTTGTTCCTCGTTTCGCAACTACGAGAATACTATATAAGCTCGTGCAGAACACGGGAACATTGAACAATTCGTGCACACAGATGGAAATAATTTTTAATTTCGAAAATTGACCAGAGAAAAGGAATAATCAGCGAAAAAGCGAAAATAAAAGAGATTTCCTTTGGTGGAACGGCCGGATTGCACTAATGTTTGATCTGTGGAAGGTCGAATGGCCTGAATCGCCACAAAGCTGATATTTAGAAAT